AGATAATTGTTTAGATACCCTTAATCAATAGTAATTAAATCATGCAATAGACTAAATTTATCATTTTTAAATGAACAAACATAACCACATATATCCAATATATAAATAGAAATTAAATTTCGTCTAATAGACCATGCAACAAAAATCTCAACGAAATTCAAATAAAAATAAGTCGTTACTAATAATCTAAAAGTTCATATAGCCTCTACTCCAACTTTATTTTCATCTCCCTCGTAAATGAATCTTTCACAATTATCTTTAGATACATAAAATAAACTAATTTCAGAATAAAGAAAAGTGAGAAAATTACTCTTTTTTACATACGACATTCTTGAAATGATCCTTTTTCACATGTCTAGCTTTATTGCAGAAGAAACATGTGAACTCCTTTGATTTCTCATTTGTCTTCTTATTGTGAAAAGATTCCTTTGCATCTCTTTTTCTTTTATTGTGAGAGTTAGTATCCAAGTGAGCATTTTCCGTCTCATTAATGTAGGAGGACTTTTTAAGCCATCCAGTTTGTTTCAGGCCCAAAAACAACATTTTAATATTTTCTATTTTATTTCTATTTTGGATTAAAAATTTATTGGAGTTTCCTTTTTCTATTTTATTTCTGTTTTGGATTAAAAACTCATTAGGATTTCTTTGATTTTGTATTTAAACACCTTTGGTGTGAGTCAAATATCATCTTTTGATATAATAAAATTCAGTATTTTCTTTATCTTGTAGATTCCAGAGTTTATCTGACAGGTTTGTATTTGCAATCATGTGTTCTCATTCTAGGTTTAGTGCTTGTTAATCCCTAGTGTTTCTAACTACGTTAAGTGGCATTAGAGCATTGTTTTATTCTATTTATTTTTGTAACTTGATCATACATGGGAGATTAATTGGTGACTAGAGCAGATCTTGAGGGAATTACTGCAGCTTTAACTGCTTTGACTGAACAGATGTTGAATTTAGCAAATCAGGTGAACAACGCCAACAACAATGAAAATTAGCGAAGAGATAAGTGAGGAGAACATGTTAGAGTTCCACGGGGTGGAAACAATCGTTGTGTTGTTATTGCTGAAAATTTGGGTTCTGGAGAAAAAGAACCTTACGAGGAAGAGGTAGTTGATAATGGGAATCAACATAACCATAATTATCGAGTAAAGGTTGATATTCCATTATTTTATGAAACGATGGGAGTGGGGGAGTTTCTGGATTAGCATATAGACACTGACAGGTTCTTCGACGTTATTGGCGTCCATGATAACAAGCAAGTTAAGATGGTTGTGATACGGTGGGAGAACTGACTTAAGGTTTTGCGTTTGTGTTCGCAAATGTTGTGGTTTAGCAAGAGTCGCCACCTTTCTCCAATTTTTGTCAAAATAATATTTTTATCTGTTTTCTCCCTTTTTGACAGTTTCCTTTTAATTTTGGTATTTGGAAAATTCCAAAGTACATGTGCAAGCTTGAACCTTGAGAATCCTTGTGAGAAAGGCCTTGAAGAATGAGAGGGCAAATTTTGGGGTACAACAATGGTGACTATCAGGCTGAAGAGTATTGCTGTTTTCGGGTAGGTTAAACTTGTTGTTCAAAGGTAGAGGTAGAGGAATAGGCTAGTTAAAACTTGGGGACGAATGAAACAATTGATGTTGAAGCAGCTTTTACCAGAGGATTATGAATAAATTCTATATAAGATATATATTGAGTGTGCTCAGAGCAAGAGAACTATGATTGAATACACAGTTGAGTTTATGTATTTTTTTTAGTGCAATGAATTGGAAGAATCAGAGAGACAGAAAGGGGCTCGATGCATCAGTGGTCTAAAGGGATCCTTGCAGAATAATATGGGTTTACAAACTGTATGATTCGTAGCTAAAGCATCTAGACTAGCTTTTAAGGCAAAATTAATGGAGTAATCCCCTCGAAATTTCTCATCTTTTAGTTATTTGCTCCAGAATAAATTTGAATCAGTAGACAAAAATAAAAAGAGTGCAACAATCAGGGATTTCAACCCTGAGAATAAGGGGACTGGCAATCCTAGTGGTGTGCAGTAGGATAAAGCACCAATCCAGATGCAGAATAACTCATATGATAAACTCACTGTAGACATGTGTTATCGTTGTAATGGAAGACATCAAAGATCAGATGTTTATCCAACAAGGTGAGTCGTTGTTGTTATGGAAGAAATGGAAGAAAAAGAGGAAAGAGAAGGACATGCAATTGAGAATAATGAATATGAAGGGGTTGAGTTTTCCAAAGAAGAATATGATGAGAGGGTAAATTTTGTGTTACGGAGAATTTTACTAGCATCTAAAGATGAAGAGAAACGCAAGAATTTGTTAAAAAAAACATTATTTTATCAAGAACAAGGTGTGTAATCTGATTGTGGATAGTGGCAACACATAATCTGGTATCGCACAATTGGTAGATTATTTGAAGTTATCCACACAACCTCATGAGAAGCCAAACACCCTCGGTTGGGTAAGCAAGAGCAATTCGAGTAACACTAGTCTGCAGAGTTCCTTTCTCCATTGAAAAATATTATAGAGAGTAGATACTTTGTGATGTTCTTGATATGGATGTTTGTTATATTTTACTTGATAAACCTTGACAGTTTGATGATAATATCACTTATCGAGCACATGATAACATGATGATGTTTACATAGGACCCATATAAAATTGACATGGCTCTTATTTTATACTTTTTATTTCAATTGTTATGGCTCATATTTTGTACTTTCAATTGAAAAAAATAAATTCCACCAATGATAATCATTCTATGAGAAAAAGAGTAAAAATTTAAATTGTGCCTCATCTCTTTCATAAACTCAAACATAAGAAAAACATTATTTTCAAACATAAATTATTATCAATCATAATAAATTAAACATAAAGACTTGATCTCATACTACTAAAAAAAATTAACTTAATAATTATACATATAAGCATATAAGCATGTTCAATATAATATTATGTCAAATAATCTTTCTAATACAGAAGTCACATATATGAGTTTAAGATCAATAACATATTGATTTATCACTTGTCGAAAGAAAGAAATCAAAAAATACCTAAATTCTTAGAGAAAAGTCTCAAATAGTAATTCTAATTCTAGAGAGACAAAGAGTAATGAATTCTTGTTGTCTCGTAACTCTTCCTCAATCGACATTTCTAATTAAACAAATAAATAATTTATTATTCAAAGAAAAATTCAACTAACCTTATTATACATTATGATTATTAAATCAGTTAACATTTTGTATGATTAAAAATCTAATATATATATATATATATATATATATATATATATATATATATATATATATATATATATATATATATATATATATATATATATATATATATATATATATATATATATATATATATATATATATATATATATATATATATATATATATATACTCCGGTCACAGTTATAAGTCAAAATAACTACTTTCATATAGATTAAGAAAATTAGTTATGTGTAATTAATTTTATTGAATTAATGTATAATCAAAGTGAAATTTACTATAATATGCATTTCTTAAGTGTGATTTATGTTTTTTCCAATGAAAATATGACAGGGATATAATTTCTTCTCACATATATATAATTTCTTCTTATTTTTATTCCTTAAAAGATATTTAGGTATATTTATCATATTTTTATTGGAGAAAAATGTGAATCACATCTATAAAGTTATATCTAAATATTTTTCTTAAATTAAAGGCATAAAAATAATACAAATGTTAATTAATTTAAAAGTTGATGACTTTTGTTTATAACAATTATCAAGATTTAAAGTCATTTTTTTCTTATAATAGTAACTGGAGGTAGTATATATATATATATCTAACGAACTAAAACGAATTATATTATAACGAACTAAAATGAATTTTATGATTTAACTCAATTCAGCTGGCCCTCCCGCAAAATTTAAAAAGTGTTTCCCAATTAAGAAAAAGGAGTGAAGCATGAGTAGTATGATAATTAAGGGCAAAGGGTCCCAAGTCCTAACTCCACTTCCTATGATGATGGACCCAATTATTTTTCCTTTAGGTTGGGAAAAGATTGCAAGGTGACGACATTCAACCACTACAAATTAACTATGGCCATATCATAAAGTGTAAAATTTTAAGTGAGTGGCCATTTCATTTTCCAGATATTTAATTCAACATCAGACCTGGCATGCATGTCATGATACATTCATTAACATTATTGCTGGGTCCCATTTTAGAATCTTACAGCCTAACTTAACAAGAATCTTCCAATGATTCCCTTTCCACACACAACACAAGTATGTGAATTAGTTTTAGTAAATAAATTGTAAGGTTCGGTCCTAGACTTGATTTAGGTATATTTTGTGTTCAAAGACTATATTAAAGTATTTAATTAATTGACTATCATTTTTTGTGTGTGAATAATTGACTATCATTTGTATCCAAAACTAGTGGCGAGTCAAATAATGCCACTTGGCAACTCAAATTTGATCCAAAAATAGAAAGAAAATCTCTATACAAAATCACAACACATCAAAAATAAATAAATGTAATTTTAATCTTCACGGACTCTTAAAAAAATACAACTTAAACACTCCAACATCGACAATGTCAAAAATATAAGACACTGATAACATTACATATTATATAATAGTCTTCGGCACAAACAATAAAATACGATGCAAACACTTCAACATCAACAATGTCAAAAATATAAGATACTTACACCATTAATTCTCATTGATAATCTGTTTCAATATATGGTGTTAATCATTTTAGATCTGTGCGAGATTTGTCCAATAAAAAGGTATAAGGTATATTGAAATAAAGAAAAAAACAATTCTTTTTTAAACACTTGTCTGAATTGTCTAACAGGTGTTGTATGAGATACGAATGTCGAACACCAATTTAAAGAGTTTCTAAAAAAATAAAAATAAAATCATTTATTTGAAAACACTTGTGTGAGCTAACACTTGTCATATGTGCTTCATAGATCTTCACTTCCTTCTTAGGCACATTTTATACTTCCCTCATGGCCAATCTCTGCTTGCTTCATGCTCCAAGCATTAAGTTTTGAAATAACCACACTTTGGCTTCCATTGTTGAATACATAAAGATGTGCGTCTTTCTTTATAGCCAATAATGGATAAACTCTACTTGTTATGGTAGCTCTTCCTCCATCACCAAAACTCTCAATAATGGACTTGTCAATCTGCATATTAACACCTCATATATATCAAATTAGCATACACATTATGATACAACAAAAATGAACAATACTTATTATCATGATCTAATAATCTTACCAAGCTTCTTAGTGAAATCGCTTTGAGATTGGGATCTATGTCAAAGATTGTACCATATGTGGTTTTATCAAGATCTTGCCGCAATGAAGACCTGTAAAGCATATACAACTTAATATTATGAGCTGTCGGACCGGGATTTCGTGCAGTAGAGAAAACATGCATTCATGTATTAAAGGGATCTCGACCATTGAACAAAGATCCAACAGTTCGTGTTTTGACTAATAAATCAGTTTAAAATACGATCTGTCTGATCAATATCAAATGATCGAGATTCCTAATTACCGGCTTTTAGAGAATCAAAATCCCTCCTATAGCATTATAAATTTAGAGAATGTTAGAAATAACCTGCTCTGGTCACTGCACATCAGACACAGATATCTATTAGGAGTTTTATATATTTGGAAAGACACTGCAGTTTGCTCTGTGAGATCCTTTGAAGCTAAAGCTAACAAACCAAATGGCCCTATTTGTCCATTTCTTGATGCATATTGTTTGCTACATAATAGTTGGGGATCAAAATGACTTGGATCTTCTAACCACTCACCACTTTCTAGATCCGGTAGCTCAAACAACACTTCTACATCAACCTTAAAGTTCAAAGCATATTATCATTGATGTTGTATTTTCTCATAAAACAAAATTTATTAATAAAAATTTCAAAATATGTTGCAGCAATTTACTAACCTGTGATGCAGTGATGCCTGAGACTTCAAGAGTTGATCCACCCTCGAGTTTCTTTCCAGTAATACTGACTTTTGTGTCTCTTAAACTTTCTACCTCTTCAATTGGCCACTGCACTAATCTCTTCCCACTTTTATCAAGCCAAACTTTCCTTGGAATTGTCTACATTACAAAACAAGATTACACATTCAACAGATTGATGAACTTGATTAACATTTGCAATCCTAAGTTATTCTCGAATACTGATAATATGTGCGATTTCATTGACTCAACCTTAAAATTACCTGTAAACCTGCCCATCCTTTCTCAATATCGTCTTGTGTAGTGTCAGACTCATTCACCCATCCCCATAATATTCTCCTATTCTTAGCATAGTCAAAAAATGACTTTGAAGCGTAAAATTTACCATAGTCAAACCGTAAATCTTTACTAGTTCCTGTAAATTTTTCATCGGGAACAAAGTTTTCCTTATCAGATACATATTTACCAAGAAAATAATAGTCATGTTGATTGCTTTGATAGCCTATCTTCAAAACATGCGTAACACTTGAATTTTCCACGGATGTATCAACCCCGTTTGTACTATTAATATACACGGGAAAAAAATCCGGACATTCAATAACTCGAGTATTATCTGTTGCAAAAAAAGGTTTTGGATTCTTTGTCCAATTGACAAAATCCTCACTCTGGTAAAGAATAGTTTTTCCTTCGTCGCCCTTTTGAGCACCGATGATTACTCTCCATTTTCCATCTTTTCCATGCCAAGCAGTTGTAGGGTCTCTGAATTCATCTTTTTCAACCTCATTAGGTGGAGTGATCAAAGGATTTTGAGGGTGTTTTTGCCATTCTCTTAAGAAAGGGTCTGATAGATTCTTTGGCATAGCTAAGTTTTGAACTTGATGTTTATTGTGATCAATTCCGGTGTAAAGAATAACAGGTTTTCCACCTGGGAGTATAGTGGCTGAACCTGACCAACAACTGTTGATGTCATAAGGCTCACTTGGTTCAAGAGCATTATTGAGATGAATCCAATTGACGAGATCGTAGGATACTGAATGAGCCCAAATAATTTTATCACCAAATGTTGCTGCATATGGATTATGTTGGTAGAATAAGTGATAAACACCTTTGTAGTACATAGGAGCTGCAAAGAGGTAAATTATAAATCAACACTAGCCATTTGGATAATATAATATACACAAGAAAGAATGCTTAATGGCTTGAATAAACATGGTTATCAAGATCTTGAGATTTTACGATCTCACTCACCCCAACGATCCAGATATTAAGTAGAATAAGATTTTACGATCTTGCTACCCCCTCTTATCATAAAAATATAATTGGGTAGGATCTCCCATCTTAGTTATGATCTTATGTTTCACGATTTTGCTATCCTCTCCTAGTCTTATGAAGATCTCGATCTTGACAACCTTGTGAAGAAACTATTTGATTTCTGTTTGGAGTGACTTATTTAAGATTATTTAAGCTTATGTATATTATATCTATAAGCTCTTTTCAACTTATTTTCATAAGCTTTTTCATATAAGCTATGAAAGTAGCTTATAACTAATATAGAAACAGATTCACTTTATTTTCCATAAGTAGGACTGTTCAATAAAACCAAAAACCAAGCCGCACTGAAAAAACCGAACTGAGAATTCGCAAACTGAATTGAACAAGTTCAGGCCTGTTCATGAACTACCTACATCAGATCAGTTATTTTCGGTGAGGCTTGTTCAGTTTAACAGTTTGGTTTCGGTTTTTTAAACATTCATAATATTCTATTTGGTTCCATTTTCGTTTTTTTTTTTCAAGAGTCTTAATTATCTGTTAATAATATCCATTTGGTGCAACCCAGTTCACAAAGTATCAGTTCAAAAAGTACTATTCGGTTTTTTGTAAAGGTAGTTCCGGTCCAGAACCACATAACCGGAGCACCGTACCATTATACTAGATAGTTTGGGACAAACAGTTAACTGTTCAATTCGGCTTTCTTGGTTAAGCAAATTACGAAAAGTCATATATATAAGCACTTAATTAAGTTGTTTATCTAAATTCTTAAAAATTTAAATGCAAAGGAAAAGTAAGTAGATTTTAACATAGTAACAGATAGTCAAATAAATAAACTGGCTTACCATTTGGATCTGCATAATGAAGAAGGCATCTACTATCAATTTTCTTCAACAAAAACATGTAAATTGACAGAAAATAATCAGCCATATCAATGGTTTATAACAAAAGCAACCCAGAAAGTTATCGCTAATTGAAAGTAATTTGACATAGGTTGGTCGAGATAATACCGTTCATCCAATTCTGCGGAGGTTGAAAGTGATAAGAAGTTCTGTAAGGTTGTTCATCAGTTACCTTGTACCTGACATGATCAATATTGCTACTATCTGTTGATGCTTCAATTCCACTTCTACTGTTTAATAGAAAAGAAACCATCACAAAAACAAGCAAAGAAATCATCATAAGTAATAGTGGTACTGCAAATTTTTTCATCAAGGTCAACAAAAGCAAGATGGCTTTTGGTTTTACTTTGATACCAGATAGGAACAATGATTCCTGGAAAGTGAAGACAAATACAGAACCAATTAGATTTTAGTTATGTAACACCAATAGGATAATTCCAAATAGAAATTATATTAAAAAGTTTATAAGTCAGAAATTATATATATATGTAGAATTTATCAATATCCAAAAGACTGATTAAACCTTCAAAGGCAATCAAATAGTAATATACAAGTATAAAAATGGTATTGCTTTCTGCAACAGATAGTTCTTATTATAGTAAGTGTAGCTAGGCTGTCACTATTATATTGTCCAATAATTTATTTGTTTACAAGGAAAGATCTTGATCTTCCTGGTTAAACAAATATTTCACAGTTGATTTCATCAGTCTCTCATGTGAAATATGACTTTAATAATGGAGATCATATGTTTGCTTTACATAAACTTTTAGTCTTCTAATTAATCATCTTCAAGTCTTGTAAGAAATTCAACTGATTCCTCCAACTTGCAGATAAAAGTAAGTTCAACAACCACACATGAGCAAAAAATAAGATAATGAAATTGATTAATCTAATAATTGACAAATTGACATAAATAAGATTATTTCTTTAATAAAAAGAGAAAAAGAAAAAAAAAACAAATTATTTCCTCCACACAATACATAGAAATTATCTAAATAAATGTATGGATTTCCAGATTCTATTTAGCTATATTATGCTTTCCATATGGCTAAACTCTGCTTTCTTCATGCTCCACGAGCATTAAGTTGTGAGATAACCACACTTTGCATAAAGATTGGCATCTTCCCTTATAGCATACAAGGGATAAACTCTACTTGTCATACAACCTCTGCCTCATCTCCAAAACTCTCAATAATGGACGACCTATCAATCTGCATATTAACAGATATATATCAAATTAGCTTGTACATTATGATAGAACAAAAACACTTTTTGTGACTAATAAACATACCAAGCTTCTTCATTTTGAGATTAGACCTGTAAGTGTACACAACATAAGTTCATGAGCTCTGATTTTCTGCAGTAAAAAAACATGCATTTCAAGGATCTTGATTATTTTATGAGATTTAAGTCGTTCAATCTTTATCTAATGGTCGAGATCGACTATTATAGATGTAAAAGCTAGTTACAGTTTCTATCGCAGGCTATATAATCAACATTCTCATTATCAAAACTATTTCTACACTTTTCTTCTCTTGTCCATAGTGAGTAAGAAATAAGCAGGTCTGACCACTGATCATTACGCATTTATTGCTATCGACGACTCACGACTCTATATACGCAGAGAGATATTACAGTCCTCTCTGTTGGATCTTCTGATGCTAAATCTAACAAACCAAATGGCCCTATCATGCCTTTAATACAGCATCTCAAAGACGACTTCCACATCAACCTTGAAAAGTTAAAATTAAAAAGTAATTAGAAAAGAATTATGAACAAAATCTGAAAAAACACGCAACAGTTCATGCATTAGTTTAATTATGTACCTGTGAATGTGATCTACTTAGGAGTGTCTATTCCGTGACTGATTTGATCGTCGCGTAGTTTTTCTAACTCTTAAAATTGGCCACTGAATTAAATGCTTCCCACTTTTATCAAGCCAAAACTTCCTTGGAATGGTCTAAATTGCAGAGAAAAACTAATCATTCATCAAATCCAATAACTATAGTCTAGATCATGTTATAACACAGGTATAAGGGATAGACTAAGGCTTCATTTCCAGTTTACATACCTGTGATGCAGTGATGATACCAGTGACTTCAAGAACAGACCCACCTACGAAGTATCTCTTCTGTCGTACAGATTTGCTTGCCACGAAGTTTTTTTACCTTTTCAATTGGCCGCGGTATCAACTGCTTCCCATTCTAATGAAGTCAAACTTGCCTTCAAATCGTCTAAAACAACAACATTCAAGTCTTATTCCACTAAATTGGATCAGGTACTTGGATCAAATTATGTTTCTATCCAATTTGTTAATCTCGAGATCTTCCTTAATAGTTTTTCTAGGCTTCCCCTACCTTAGTTGTTAGACTTCTCTCTATCAGATATACTCTCCTTACAACGGAATCTAAAAGTCTTCTCTCTATATGTCCAAATCATTTAAATCTGTTTACACCATCTTTTCTACTATAGATGTTACCCAAACACTCTAATATTGTCTTTTATAATCTTATCTCATATAATCTTACCACATCCAACACAACGTGTTCATCACTGCGCTACACTTATTTATTCTCGTGTTGATTCTGAACTGTCCAACATTATAGAGATTCGACAAAATTTTACGATGATTATTGACTACCTAACACAACCCTTTACTTCTATTTGGGCTTGGGACTGACTATGCATAGTAAGGCTAACATAGACATGTTTTCCTGTAAATTTTAGATCAAGAACAAAATTTTCTTGATCAGGAACATATTTGCCAAGAAAATGGTAGTCCTGATGTTGAGTGCATATAATCAAATGCAACTCTACTATTGCATTTAAGTCCCCAACATTGACAAAGTTCCCACTAGGATGCGGCCAGGCCAAAAAAAGTGAATAAATAATTGAAAATATGAGAAAAATGGCTAGCATGCCATTTTGATCAACATTAGAAAAGTTTTCAACAAAACATGTCAAATGACAGAGAGAATAGAACTAGACATGAGAAGTGATTTAGAACTGAAAGTAATACTTTTTAGAGATTTCATTGACTTGACTTCCAAGAAAAAAACTGAAAATTGGATTATAAAAATAAATAAAAGAAACTATATTATTCATACCATCTCAGTATCTTCCCATTTTGAAATTCAGTATTCATAACTAGCAAAATACTGACTCATATTTCAGTAATCTAAAAACCCCTTCCATCCTGGAAGCTACACCTTAGTCAATTCTCAGATTTTTTTCTATTCGATCTACATTTTTTTACGTATTCCTGAATCACTTATTTAAAATATAACCAAAATCAAGCTAGAACTAAAAAAACAATTAACTCAATATTCATTGTCTAGGTGCTGCATACCCTGTGAAGGACCACTCCAAATTTGAAACCTCAATGGCTATACCAAACTGCATCTAATCCATATAATAGATGCAAAGTTAAACAGAAATGAAGTAATTCATAACAGAAATGTACCACTTACGCCTGAATCTCAAGCAGTACAAGCTTTAACAGGACGGTGAAGAAAACTGCAAGCATCACAAGATAAATTAAAAAAATTTACTTCAATCCACAAAAATCAATTATGCTTCATATATTAGAGCAAACAACATTACAATGTAACAGTATCTCTCAATTTCTGTGAAGCACTAACCCAGACAAAGATACAAGATACGACACTGGAACTTGTGTGTAATCATCGGCAATAATTTGAAAATATACAAGTGATTAAGTGCAATCGAATGCATCAGTGTCAAACATTAGACATGCCTTTAATTTGAAGCTTGAGTGTTACATTTCTCAATTTAACATCACTTAACCTCAATTTGGGTAGTAATTGATTCTCAACCCTCAATTTTGTGTCAAACTAAACTTCATTTACAAAAGAATCAATAAATATAAAACCCATCATCATCTTCTTCATCACTTGTGTATTCATCCGAATCCTCGTCTTCGCTATACTCCAACCTAAAATCTTGTCCCATTTCCATTTCCTCATCCTCTTGAAAAAACAACACATCACCAAAATCATCGACTGTCGTCGTGGTTGTAGTATTTGTATCTGTTCTTGTTCTTCTCCTATCTCTACTCTTTGCCAGCAAATCCATCTCCAAAACCTCTCCATTCTCAACCGCATTCCAAGGAACCCACAAATCAGCATGTCTCCCCAAAGCTCTATCAACATCCCCAACAACAACAGTCCCTAAATTCGCCTCTCTAGCCTTCCGCAACATGTCGCTAAAATCCGAATCATCCGAAACCAAAAACAACCAATCAATCCCTCTATTCATGGAATGCATCATCTGTTTCTTCAAAGCCCAATCAGCCGCCTGAGGCTTATCCTCCACAGTCTTGACAAAAACCCCCGCCCGCCGCAACTCCGACGCAAGACCATACCCAACTTTCGGCTTAACAATCTCTCTAACCGCATCGTTATACTTCTGGTCCCCACTAATAAAGCGTTCCTTAAACTTCTGTCTCTTCTTCCCTTTCAAGGAACTCAAACGGTTCAGCTTCTTTTGCCGCTCTCGTTGGTGAAGCTGTTTGAAGTGTTTCTTAAGATCCACGTTGGTTTTGCATTTCCGACCGCAGACGGAGCATACGTAAGGCTCGGAGGGGTTGACGATTCCCTTGCGTTCGAGGATGTCAAGATGTTTGCGTTCACGGCGTTGGTCGAGGACCCATTGCGGGAGGTGGATGAAGGCGTGACGGTTGGCGTAAGCGGAGATGTCGGTGAGTTCGCCGAAGCGTTCGGCGAGGGTTTTGAGAGAGAGTGCGGCGTCGTACGGTGGACCGCGTGGGGGTTTGTTGTCGAGGTCCCAGAGGACAACGACTTTGTTCTGTTTTGGTACGTAGGTTCCTTGTTTGGTTTTGACCATGTCGATGTCGACGATGTTGTTGTTGGTGGTGGTGGTGGTGCAGCATTGTGTATGGGTTTGGGGTTTTGTTTTGAGGAAGAGGAAGGAAGGGGTGGGTTTGGAAGAGATGAAGGTGTGGTGGAAGTGGAAGTGGAAGTGGAGAGTGTTATGGAGGGAGACAGAATCCATGGTTTGATTTTAGTAGATAAGCTTATGGACGGTCATGGTTTAAGCCCCTACAAAAAGCGATTATTTATTGCCAAATTCACAAAAATAAAATACCTATTTAACTTATCATTTTTAATTAATTAATATATTAAAAATTATTAATTAAATTATTAAATTAGAAATTAATAACTAAGATATATTTAAACATCTATGTAAATTTTAAAAGTACACTTTATAACTTACTTTCATGAAATCACGTTCTTCATTCTTGCTATCGAACACACATTCTCTATTGTAATTTCTCTTTATGAACACATGTTCTTCATTCTTGCTATCGAACCCACATTTTCTATACATAAGACTTTGCTTCGTTAGTTATTACCTTTTTAACACTCTTAGACTCAATCTATTCCTCATGAGGCCTCTCTTCTGATTGACTGCGTCTACAAGCCCAAATTGCCCTTTTATGAAACCTCCTCCAGTCTACAGCTTCTGCGGTCGACTTTCTATAATCAAAACATCTTCAAAGAACTCTTTTGCTTTTGGTTGGATTTTGACCCCCTTTGTAAAAATCTCAGCCAACACTTGTTTAATTAAACTAAAAAAAGAAGAGAATGTTGTAATATTTCTTTCTAAGTTTACTTTGTTAGTATTTTATTTTTTATTTTTTTATCTAAGAAGGAAACATGATAGCATTTTTAGTCAAAACATCGAATCTCGAATTTGTTTATGAGTCTTGAGTGATTCTAAAGTTTTAAATTTTCTTTTATATTACATGTTAGAATATTCCATATTTACTAACAGTTCACCACTCTTTTTACTCTATATTACATTCAAATTATCAATATGATGTATGCAAAACTATTTTCATTTTTTATATATATATATATATATATATATATATATATATATATATATATATATATATATATATATATATATATATATATATATATATATATATATATATATATATATATATATATATATATATATATATATATATATATATATATATATATATATATATATATATATATATATTAGACCAAATAGTTCGGTTTCATTGAAAGTCGTTAAGTTTGTTGGTTTGATGTCAATTATATTTTTGTCTTCTTTAAATAATTCATATAATCTCTAAAAAAAATTATAATCTTTTAATCATACTCTAAATTTATTTATTATATATTCAATTCTATTTGATAATATATAATATTTAATTTTGACAAATATTTTTTAGATTGAAATTTCTTTAGCATATTTCTTTAGGTACATATATTGTTGAAAAATTTTATGTAACTTTTATAAAAGACTGATGATAATGTTTTTTTATAGTAAAAACTTTGACATCACAATTTTTTATTTTCTTTTTATATTTTTGATATTTGTTTTTCTGATTAAATAATAATTAAATAAATAAAAAACTTAATATACTAAATTCATGTTTCTAAATAGCAAAAAATATCCACTTGCTATGTATTATATTTGATTTTTTTATTATTCTTATTATTATAAGTCAATATTATTTTTTATTTTTAATACTGATTAATAATTAAATAATTTAAATATTAACTAAAAAAATAAGATATACTCTATAGTTTTCTTCTCATGACTTAAAAGATAGAAAATATAATTTTCTTGGTCATCTTATGTACAATTCTACTACTCTATTAACTCACAATTTATTCATAAATTTTTTATATTCAACAACTACTTATAATCTATTAATTATATATAATTTTTTTAAGTATATGTTAACAAATAAATAGGACAAAATAAATAATATATCATAGAGCTTCACCTTGAAATAATTTAAAATTCTCAATTTTTTTCTCCCTTCTCAATCTTTTTTTTTTATTTTTTTTATTTTTATTTTCTTCTTTTACTATTTCTTCGAAATTTTGTTTTTCTGTTTTTTTTCCTTCTAATATCATTGTTTGTTGATTTACAAATTTCAAATGATTTATAGTTTTATCTTCATCTTTTATCGTTATATATTATGTATAATATAATAATTTAACTCATTTAAAAATGATGATGTTTTATGTGTAGATTTTCTCTTACTATATCAAATAGATAGATGATAAAGTAACTAGAGCTCATGGGTCATCTTCATATTTTTGACAATAAAAATTTTTTATATTGGCTGTATTGTTTATGAAAATAGATATCTCTTACTATATATATATACTCTTTTAATTTTTTTCTTCTTCTTAATCATGTTAAAAATATATTTAATTTCTCAAAAATAAAATTATAAATTATTGTCAATTTATTTTCATAAACAATACAGTCAATATAAAAAATATTTATCATCTCTATTGTAAATTATTTTTATATTACTATAATCATTACCAAAACTAATTTAATAAAATATATTTGTGCATCGCACGGCTAATCGTCTAATTTCATTTATTAAAGATGAATAAGTGAGATGTCATGTGGTAGAAATACATTGTTGTATCTAATGTTTTTGCATAATTATCATTTGTATATGAGTTTTTGTACAACTATATGTTGTAACTGGTTTTTAAATCAGAGTCGTCACCCTTAATTTTTATTCTAAAGGAAGAGAGTATAAAGGAATAACCCTAAAAGGTTCAGAGATTTTAGGCCTGACTCAATTCTAGATGAAGGAAAGGTGTTAAGCACCTCTCATCTACTTTGTTCACAAGGATACTAGGTTTAGAAGCGCTTTTTAAGAAAATAGGGTTTTAAGTTTTATTAGGGGAGCTCGTCACAATTTTTGATCGTATGCCTATGTATCCTCTTAGGGGGAATCAGAGTCTCATTTCGTAGTTCGTAGTTGGTTTGTATTTTTTATAGATTAAGAATTATATTTGAATTTCCTGTATACTTAATCTAAGTGTACGAATAGCGGAGATATTAGACAGAATACGCAGTCGATTCAAATATACTTATAATCCTTTTTGAAGATTAATTATTAGATTAATTAGATTTACGAAAATAATTTGTGGTTGATTAAATATTTTTTAATATATTAATTATGAAAATATTTTATTTAAATGCATGATCAAAAGAAATAATTTAATGCAATAAATAAAATATATTTGAATCTGTTTAGGAAAATATTATGATTTATAAAATAATAGTTAATATAATATTATAATATATAAATATATATAAAAAAGGAAAATATAAAAATAATAAAATAATTATAATAAAATAATAATAAAACAATTTTTAAAAAAACGTAGGGGTGCAAATTATGTAGGGTAGTAAAATTGGGAGATGTTAATAGTATGAGCCTGAATTCAGATATTGAATTCAGACCCAAAAGGCAAGGGGTGTGTTTTTTTATCTACGCGGCAAAAAGAGAGGTGTATAAGGAATATGTCCCAAGTCCATATTTTGGACTTAACCCATTTTGCCTGGGGGTATACTTCGAACGTGTTAGTAAAGTAAAAACAAAAGGGTGTATAATCAGTAATTGGATTCAGCCCAATGTTTAACTCTTATATCAAATACAAAAACGTAAAAAAGGGAAAAAGAAAATGAATGATCTGTTACCATGTCGTACTTTCTCTTCTCTGCTTCGATCTTGTCTCCGCTAATCTCGCCCTTTCGTTTTGTTTCGTAAGTGACGGAGGTGGATGGTGAGAACGACGATGACGAGTTGAAGCAACAGCGGCTCGGCTCCTTCTTTTTCTCCG